TTTATTTTTATTTTTTTGGGTAAGCAAATGATGGTGTTTAAGAATCTCCTAAACTAATTGAAGATTGTGATGTTGCTTGTTAATGAAATTGTTTGCTCTATGCCAACCATGGCAATTATTCAGATTAATGGGACCACCTTTTATATAAGTAATTTTTACATTCATGAATCATGAGGAAATAGAAAGGAAAAAAGCTTGCAATCATAACTAAACCCTATAAAACCCATTAAATGCTAATATAACAAGCTAACAAGAAAAGAAAGAAAATGGAGAGCTACAAATATATGCTTGGTTTTGAGGTCCCACAGGAATTAGGCCATTGTGCATGAATGAATGTGGTTGTTGAGCATACTAATGTGATTTCAAATTTTAAATTTAATAGAAAATAAAAGAATTTTTTTTTTTCTAAATTAGGTTTCATGATTATATAATTTTAAATTATGTATAGTTGAAAAAACTTAAAATAAGTAATAAATATGTTTGGTGCAGTTCTTAATAATCTGTGAGAAAAGTAAAATGTGTTTGGTTAAACTAATTAATTACAAAAAAAGTCACTTTTAACTACTAAAATATTGGTCGCCAATTGTCTGTTTTTTGGTCGCCAAAGCCATTCTGCGACAAAAAATTTTGGCCGCTACATTTGTCGCGTTGTTATTGTCACGTTGTCACGTTATTTTAGCTTTTAGCTACTAAAATTTTGGTCGACAATATTTAGCTACTAAAAGTCACTTTTAGCTACTAAAGTCACTTTTAGCTACTAAAATTTTGGTCGACAATATTATCACGTTGTTATTTATTTATTTATTTTCATTGTACAAATATTCATAATACCCTCAGAACTTTTGTTTGATACAAAATGGATGACACTATTTTGTGTACAAGTATTTAAGCATTTCAATATATATATATATATATAGATATTGTAACTTTAAAAAATCTTTCTTTAAAAATTTTATTTATCAAATAAGCTAAAGTTCAAAATTGTAACTAGACATCATTAATTAATTTTTAATAAAAATAAATTAACTTACAAGTGTTCTCAAACGGGATCCATATGCTTGTAGTTACATGTATTGATGGACTTTTTTTATGTAGTTAGATGGTCAATTTGATATAATTTCTATGATATTCTCTCTAGTCCAGTTCATAGACTACAGGGTGTAATTTGAGTCTATCTAGTTCATCATGGAGCTTGTTTTGATATTTTGAATTTTTCATTTTATCGAGCCTTTTATGCATATCATCTACACAAAAAATTAAGTTGGATTGATAATTGTAACTTATTTAATTTATAACATTTGTCTCTAAAAAATAGATGATAAGTATATTTTTTAAAAAATAGACTATCAATTTTTTAGTAACAAACGTGATAAATTAAATAATTACAACTATTAAATCAAAAAAAAATTTATTTTTTTATGAAGGTTATATACAAAAGACCCGACAAAATAAATAATTTAGATGATTGAAATGAGACCTATCATAAACTTCATGAACTCGAACAATGTTATCTAGTCCAAATCATAGGTTGAAGGGAATTAAGGTCAAAAATACTAGAAATCCAAAAAATTCGACCAAATTTTTTACTAAATATTTCACATAGATGTGAGACAAACATGAGATCTCTAGCATTATTGGGTAATGTTAGAGACCCCAAAAATTTTATCAAAAATTTTACCAAGTGGATCCCATGTGAGTCGTACACCCATATGGGATATTTGGTAAAATTTTTGGAGTCTCTAGCATTTGAGTGATATTACATGTACCAATTAGTATACTAACTAATGTACCAATACTAGTTATGACATTATTATTAACCTCACTCATTAATCACATTATAAATACCAAAAATCTCTTAAATTATACAACATCATTAATTGATATATTAATTAATACACTAATTAGTGAATATAATATTATTCCTAACACGTTTGTTACTCAATTTAGGTCCTTATAAACAGTTGATTAGTGCAATCAATGGTCATAAATGGGAGCCTATACTAGTACAGCTCATCAAAAAAACTGCCGTAGAGTATACAGAGAGGAGCAAGGCGTGGTGCCAGGTATGAGTTGAGGAGAACAATGACTTGTTGGACCATGGGGACCATGGGGGATATGGACTTGACCCACAGACGTGAGCTGGGGACCGAGACCGTTCAAACTCTTGAAGCCCCACGAAATAACAACACGCTACACTATACACTCTACAAATGGCATTTTCCAGACATATATAAAAAAACAACGCATATATATCTATACCTATATATATATATACATATATACACGATGTGTGTGCAATTTAAATAAGTAGAAATAAAAAAAATAATAATGAAATTAATATTATAATGTGTATTTAGCTTAAGTGGTATGAGTCTTCGTACTTAAATCCATGACCATGGGTTCAAGCCTTGCCCATCTCTTTGTTTAACATTTTTTTAAAAAATAAAAAATACTGCCACATGGCATGAGGAGAGTAAAGGTTCAGGACACCATAAGAGTTATGTGTTCACTTTATAATAGCATAAATAAATAAATAGATAGATATTTATACTATTATTAAGTGATAGCTTAAAATTAATTTAGTAAAACTTTATTCTTTATGTCACGTGATAATTTTATATATGTTATAATAAAAAATATTATTATACCCAAAGTAAGTTTAAATTTCATTAAAAATATACTTAAATTTTTGTTATTTATTTTTATGGTTAATTATCTGACTGCTAGTATATATAGTTGGAAGAGAGTAAAATCGCATTTTGCACAATTCCTGAGTCTCAATGTCGCTCCTCTCCGTCCCCGAAGTCTCTCTCCTCTCTCTTTCACTGAATGTACGTTACACTCTGCCCAATTCTTCTCTCTCTCTCTCTCTTCTCTCTCTCTCTCTCATTTGTCTCATATGTATGAGCTTTTCTTCTTCTTCTTCTTCTTTTTCCGTCTTGCAATTTCGTTTTTCAGAGGTAAATTTAATCTGTTGGAATTTTGAGATCTAGTAGTAACAAGGATTTAATTTTCCTGAATTTTTTGTTGTTGTTGAATTATGTGTTTACAGATTACATGTCATTAATTCCTCAAAGACATTCTGTTCGTTTGCTTTTTTTGTGAGTCCCTCTCTCTATTGTCTCTCTGTCCCTAGTCAGTTTTTGAATCCCATGAATTGTAATGTGCAATTGATATATCTTCTGTTGATGGAACCAAAATGTGTGCTTGGTGATGCTCGATGACTCAAATGCATGTGTGTATTGTGTGTAAATTTCACTCTTTTTGTGTGTCTTTTGCTTTTGAGTGTTATTTGGTTTTTTGACATGAATATCTAATCCAAAGTCACTGTTAATTAGTGGATAAAGTTGCCAAATATTTTCTTTACTTATTCTAGGGCATAAATCTTGGCACATTACCCTTTGTTAGTCAAGGCAACAAACATGACTTGAAATTTGGTGCAAGTTTTTTTTTTTTCTTTATTATTCTTTTTTAATACATTAACAGGAGAGGATTATAGGAAGAAAGCTGCAGTCGTTAAGACTTGAAACCAGGCATCATAAGTACCTCATCCACTAGTTGGTGTGAGTTAGTGAGGCTATAGAAGCACAGGTGGAGGTGCGAATGTGGGTGGGTTATGGGTATGCTGAAGGATATTACAGTCCAGTACCTTCATAAAAAAAAATAAAAATAAATTGTAATTTGTATTAGTACATAACAATTAGAAAATCAAATGTAAAAAAAAATGAATATAGTTTTGAAATGCTAACACAGAGAACCCCATGTATTTTTTTTATATATATTTTTAATTGTAAAAGCACCTAACACTTTTAAAATTTTAAAAAATAGGCACAATATAATTTTTCTAGTACCTACATATTTTTTAAAAATTATATTTATGCTTCAACGAACCCACGTACCCATGATGTATTGGAGCCATACCCATGATGTATCCAAAGCATTTCACGCACCAAATACATATTTTGGGTACCTGAAACTTGTGCGGCTGTACTTGTATGCCTATCCATACAAGGTAAGTACCCGGTACTTGTGGACAATAATTTTGGGCTACCAATGTATGCCTATCCATACCGAGTAAGTACCCGGTACTCGTAGGCAATAATTTTGGGCTACCAATGCTTCATAGGTGACACAGAAATCTTGAAAATGCTAATTACTCACTTTCCAGCCTCGAATACCTTCTCTTTTGCGGAACAAGGAAACAGGTGAACTTTTGCTTTTCAATGAACAAATGGTAATTTTAAATTTTTTTTTTTTTTTTTTGCTCCTTTTGGTCTGGATTCTCTTTAATGACATAGCTTTTTTTTAAAATTTTTTTTATGTAGATTACTTTTGCTAATTGTTTTTGAAACTTCTAAGTGCAGTATTTCTATTAGATATATTTCTTTATATTTTTAAAAAGTGACCTGCTTTATCACTATGGAGAAGTCAATCAAGAACATTTTTGCCCTCTGCTTTCTCATTTTCCCCCCCATAATCTTCAACCTAAAGTAACATTGATAGTTCCCAACATTTCAAAGTTACACAACATATTTTTAGGCACCTGAAAAAGGGAATTATGTGTTTTACGGTCTCGGTAGTCTTCTTTGTGTAAAAAAGTATTCCATGCCCTATATATTAGTGTGAAAATTATTATATATTGAACTTAGAATGTTTTGATTCACAATTATAATGTTGGAGTAAAAAAAAAAAAGGAGAAAACCTTTATTTTTCCACATGAAGCATTGGACTTTAAAATTGAATTTAGCTCATTCGCTATAAAGAGGCTAGGGGTGGGAAGGTACAACTTTTTAACTTCCCAAGTTCTTACAGTATATGTTGCTATCTAATTTTATATAAGTGGTAAACAAAATGGTTGGGGTGTAGTTTTTTCTCTTTAAAATAATGATTCTCCTATGTTCTCTCTTACCAAACTTTTAACTAAGTTTTCTGTTTCTTTTAGAAAGGATTTTCAACAGTGGAAAGCAAAAGGAAAACTGTAGAAAAAAAAAAAAAAAAGCTTTACATTTTAGTATGAAAACGTTGACAAAGGGCACCTGCAACAAAAATTCAAACTGCAATGTAAATAAATGATCATTTTGTTGAATTGTTAATCCTTTAACTTCAATGCTTTACTTTATTCAATGCTTATCAGCTTCAGGACTACCATCAACTGATACTATGCTTACATGTGCAAAAGGAAGTACTATAAACAATTGTCCTTCAGATTTAAAGGTATTATAAGGCAAGAGTCAAGAGAGAATTTGGTGCTAGTTGTATGATAAGAGTAGAACTCGGTATATTGCTTGGAAACTATGTTTTCAATGAAGCATCAACAGAATTTACATGTCCTCATTTTCTGCAGGATGTTCAGAGAGGAATTGTCTTCTTTTGTTTCTCTTCCTTGCCATGGACAATTTATGCTCAATTTTGTGTTGGTGTTTATCTGTCGTCGTTTTTTATTTTATTTTATTTTATTTTTAAAATCTTTACAATCTCCCTTGTGCTTATTTATTCTTATCTGCGTCTAAAACTCATTTGTTCAATTGCTACCTTTCGAAATTAAGGCACAATCAGTCTTCAGAACTTTTTGCTGTTGCACACCTCAGATCTTTCCTATGCTTGTAATGAAGCAACTGTATTCTTATTAGTACTAATATTGTTTCTTCCTCCACATACATGATCGACTAATTTTGTTTCACCATGCTTGTTCTTGAACAGGAGAGCAAAAGAGCCACTGAGGCCATATACCCCACTCTGAAACTCCCCATGAAGCTCCAATTCTTTCCAGTGGGTACCTCCATTTTCCTCCTACTGCCTATTCTTCCGCTGATTATCGGTGACCTGAATTCTGATAGGCAGGCCCTCCTGGATTTTGCTTCTGCTGTCCCACATAGCCGAAAACTCAACTGGAATTATAATCTCTCAGTTTGCAGCTCTTGGGTTGGCATTTCGTGCAATGATGATGGAACAAGAGTGATTGGCATCCATCTGCCAGGTGTTGGACTATCTGGCCCCATCCCAGCCAATACTATTGGAAAGCTAGACGCTCTTAGACTCCTGAGCCTGCGATCCAACCATCTCAACGGAAATCTCCCTTCCGATATCCCCTCCATACCTTCCCTTCAATCCCTTTATCTTCAACATAATAACTTTTCTGGCAAAATTCCCTCTTCTCTTTCCTCCCAAATCAATGTATTTGATTTCTCCTTCAACTCCTTTAGTGGTAATATTCCACCCATAATTAATAATTTGCCAAGACTCACTGTGTTAAGCCTCCAGTTTAATTCATTCTCCGGCACTATCCCCAAGCTCAACCTTCCAAGACTCAAGCTACTGAATTTGAGCTACAACATGTTCAGTGGCTCAATTCCATATTCAATCAGGAAATTCCCAATTTCTTCGTTCGTGGGGAACTCTTTTTTATGTGGACCACCTTTGACTGATTGCTCTACAAGCTCTCCCCCTTCTCCTTCTCCTATAGTCCCTGGAAAACAAAATGCTGGCCACAAGAAGCTTGGGACAGGTGCTATCATTGCCATTGCAATTGGGGGCTCTTCATTTATTTTTCTTCTAGTTTTAGTGGTCTTGTTCTTCTGTCTGAAGAAGAAAGATAGTGGCGGTAGTAATTTATTGAAAGGAAAGACTGCTACTGGTGGGAGAAGTGAGAAGCCCGAGGACTTTGGAAGTGGGGTGCAAGAAGCTGAGAAGAACAAGTTGGTTTTCTTCGAAGGATGTTCATATAACTTTGATCTCGAGGATTTATTGAGAGCTTCAGCCGAAGTTCTTGGGAAGGGATTTTACGGAACAGCTTATAAAGCTATTTTGGATGAGGGTGTAATGGTGGTGGTGAAAAGGTTGAGGGAAGTTGGGGTTGGAAAGAGGGAATTTGAACAGCAAATGGAGGTTGTAGGGAGGGCGGGGCAGCACCCTAATGTTGTGCCACTTCGTGCTTATTACTATTCCAAGGATGAGAAACTTATAGTTTGTGATTACATCCCAGCGGGCAGTTTGTTTGCTCGCTTGCACGGTATGATTTGCTTTAATCTCGTTTTAATTAATTAATTTTTTTTTTGGTTGTAAATTGCAGTAAAATGTTCAGTAGTGCTCTATTTTTGTTGTGACTGAACTATTTTAGTAGGAGTGCCTTACAGAAAATTACTTGATTTATTCATTATTTTCAACATAGGGTGAAGAATACCTAGCTATATATGATCTATTTAAGCAACATGATAACTTCAAACACGAATAGGATGCTTAAAAACATTACAGAAAAAAAAAAAAAAAAAAAAAACAGAGAAATATAGTGGGTAGGGACATTTATAGTATATCTGTGCAATAAAAGCTCTTAGAAGAAGACTTCCACTAATTAAAGCTAGAAATTTTGTTGAGTTACTGACCCTTGTTAGAACTATTTCTTTTGATGACTTTCGGATAAGAAAGTAACTTATTTATTGGGACAGTATCTAGATTATAGAATGTCCTTGAACTTGGATATGAATGCCCAACTCAACTATTGGTCTATGGCTAATTAATAAGCAACATATACTATTTGTAAGTGATTAATTACTAAGGCTACATTGGTGGGCATTATTTAACTCCTCTATGTTGAACTTGTCATTGTGACAACTGAATTATAAAAAAATTTGGGTTAAAATGTACTAGTGAGCTGTGACAGCCCTTAAAAATAAAACTTGGGTTTGAAGATCTCTCATTATTCAATCACTTATTCTCTACTTTTAACAAATAACAGGTAACAGGGGCATAGGAAGAACACCACTAGATTGGGACTCACGGTTGAAGGTATCACTTGGAACTGCTAAGGGAATCGCCCACATCCATTCTGAGGGCGGCGTTAAGTTTACCCATGGAAACATCAAGTCTTCCAACGTCCTCCTCACCCAAGATCACAATGCTTGCATATCCGATTTTGGCTTGACTCCTCTAATAAACTTCCTAGCAACCATGTCGCGAGGTCCTGGATACCATGCTCCAGAGGTGATTGAGAACCGAAAAGTCACTCAAAAGTCCGATGTCTACAGTTTTGGTGTCCTCTTACTTGAGATGTTGACAGGCAAGGTCCCTCTCAAATCTTCACGGCACGATGACGCAGTTGATCTCCCGAGGTGGGTCCGGTCTGTTGTCAGGGAAGAGTGGACAGCTGAAGTTTTTGACTTGGAGCTGATGAGGTATCAAAATATTGAAGAAGAGATGGTGCAAATGCTTCAGATTGCACTTTCATGCGTTACGAAGGAACTGGATATGCGACCCACGATGAATGAAGTTGTTAGAATGATTGAGGAAATCAGACAATCTGAATCGGATAACCGACCATCCTCCAAGGACAGCAAATCCAAGGCCTCTAATGTGGGTACGCTGCCGTGAAGTTGCTCTATGGAATTGATTCTGCTGCTACTGATCAGTTCTAGAAGTTTCCTTAGTTTGTTTTAAGAGGCCATATGAAAACTTCTTGTACAATTCATTGCAATGCATCCTCAATGTTGTGCATTTTGTGTTGTTCCTTCTAATGTAATGTTCAATTTTATGGATTTTTTAGAATCATCAGATTTACAAATATTTGAGCATTTTTCCATATATTTTTTTTTTTATTTGTGATGGAGCACAAAGACATTTACCAAGTTTTCCTTTGACTCATGTTTCAAAGAGTTGTTCTAAACTACACTGAATTGATTTACTTCCCCCAACCAAACTAGACAGGTGGTAATACAATTGTTGCGCAGACCTCTCTTTAAGTGGTAATAGAATTAGGGAAATTCTGTTTGGGTGTGTATATACGATGTTTGTGATCTTTGGTTTTGATTTATTATGGCGTTAGTTATGGCTTTGGTTATACATATTATGGTATTCGTTATAATTTGTTGTGATGTTGGTTATAATATTGTTTTAGTTATGATGCAAAAAGATTTTTAGTTATATTTTAGGGTAATACTATTTATACACCACTCATTTATTCAGTACTCACCATCTTTTAAATTTTTGTTATTATAATTTTGTCCCTTTGTTAAATTACCTTTTTAGACAAAATCTTAACCTTAGTTTTTTCAAGCACTCCAACACTAACCATTGCACCTCCTACTGCCTACCTCAAACTCCGACGACCGTAGCCTAGCCAGCCCCCAACTCTGGCGAACGTCGCCTCGCCAACCCCATCATGGTTCGTCTCTTCTCTCCTCTTCTCTCTCTCTCTCTCTCTCTCGCTATCTCTCTCTTCTTCTTCTTCTTCTTCATCTACAACTGGCGTCGCCCTCATTTACCATTGCCGTTGCAACTCGCCTCACCATCGCTAGAAATCAAGATTGGCGCCACCTCACACCCTAGATCTAGGGTTTTCAGATCTAGGGTTTGAAAAGAAGAAGAAGAAGAAGAAGAAGAAGAAGAAGAAGATGGAGGGTGTGATAATGGTGGGTAGCGATTGGGTTAGAGAGGTAGCAAAGGTAAGAGGCGGTGGCGATAGAGGTGGTGGTAATGGGTGGTTGTTGAGGGTTAGGCTAGGGTTTGGGATAGAGAGTTCAAGAAGATGGGGGTAATTTAGGATTTTTTGAAAATTGATGGTGTGAATTGAGAATAAATTAAAAAATTGAAATGGATATAGTGTGTATTGAGAAAATGGTGTCTATTGAGAGTGTGGGTGTTGATTTCCGACCACATAATCAAACAAGGAACTTAGCTGGAGAGCATGTGACATAATAGATTAAGTCAACCACCTACTAATAATAAAATGAGAATACTGCGGTGGTTCGTCCACCCGAGGGCACTCTGACGATCAAGTCAAGTAAGTAATCTCTCAAAGATATCACGCAAGTACTCAATGCACAAATTAAAATGTATCGTAGACCCACGACGGTAACTCACTTTTATAGCTAACAATGACCTAGTCTCTTAGAAGTCTCACTTCATAGGACTCAAGCACAATGCTTATCTCGAACTCTCAGCTAGATAGGGACAAACTCCTCAATCGAGGACTCTTGTCCTCTATCTAGATATCCCATAATCTCAATATTACCGCACTGAACCTCGACAATACCGCGATCATCTCGGTAACTATGACTCACTCATGTGGCACCTCGGTCGACATCTTGAAGACACCTTGGCCACGTGGCGTCATTCTCAAAATACTTCCCCATAACTGTCCTCTAGGTTCTATTACCTCGGCAATCTAACGTGATGGAACCTATATCATCTGATTTTCCAACATGTCAGCTAAACAACATGCTAGAAATACTCCTCTGATCGAGGTCATGACTCGTCGGAGTCAAGAAACAAGGACTCAAGTGTCCACTTATCAAGAATCAAGAACCAACATATTCTTTCATCCAAGATTAACATCTCAACCGAGATCACACTACTAGCCAAGATTGTAACTCACTAATTCAAGAACATCAAGATTCGAAATCTGTAGTCTCAATCGTCAAACCAACATCATGACATGTCACCTCTTCATTGGTTCCCAATATGCCTCATAATTGACACACGCCACCCATTAGACGTCGCCTAACATTAGCCATCACACGTCTCTCAAGAAACTTGAATCATTATAATCTGTCACCTCTTTCCATTCCAACAAAACCTTTTCATTTTCCTATTTCGTCTTTCTTTGTGTCTCCAGACTCTTTCTCTCTCTTGGCCTCTGCAAACCATCATTGTTGTTGTTGAAGCATTCATGGTTATGAATATTTCATTCGTGCCCAAGGTTCAAACTCTACCAGATGAACCAGACTAGCATCCAAGCCCTTTATCAGCTACTCCACGCATCAATCCACCATCTCAATGGTAGTGCAAACGCCGACATAGCAACAATCTTGCAGCCAGAACCAGGAACAGGAAACATCGAGGTCCTAAGCTCCTAGCCTTAGACCATGACAATCCTTCAATCGCCTTATCTGCGAGTAATCATTGCCGTAACCAATGATGACATGTCTCGTTGAACTCTTGTCGTAGAAGACTTTCTTGCCGACATCTTTGATGTCATAACTGTGCAATTCACTCCATCTCCTGATTGTCAATCCAACATGCTCATGCCTCCAATAACTTAACATCTCGGAAGAGAAGCATATTAAGCAAAAGGACCAAGTTACTGCTGCCAAAGTCGAGGCCATTGTTAAGGCCGCTGAAAAGAAAGCTGTCGAAGTTGAGAAGAAACTAGTAGAGGCGCTAACCAGCAAGGAGAAAACGCCAAAGCCTATCAAGAAAGCCAAGACTCTGTCTGAGATCAATATAAGGAGCAGGTCAACATTTCGGATAAAACCATCATCCCTAGTCATGTCATCTCAAGTACAATTATTATCTCGGATACCTTCATCTCTCCAAATTTTTTGAAAATTTCACCAAATATCACTTTCAAATCACTGACTTAGTCTTCATTAACTCATCTCTGCTCTCTGCCCCCTAATGTAAATGTAAATACAACTTAGGTTCACATTAGGAATGCATCATCTGAGTCTTGTCTAAGTCTGACTTAGACATCCATGACCGAGGTCATCGTGTTTGGCTCGCCCAAACAGAACACTCAAGGCTTAACCTTAGTGCACCGAGAGTATTACCTACCTTGGCTTTTCGTACAAACTAGCCAGATCATGGCTAGTTTCGCCTTGTTTTTATTTAAAACATCTCTTTAACTTAGTTCAGCTCTGCCTTCCCGATAAGCCTAAGATAAAGGAACATTTCCTTGCTAGAACATCCCTTAGTTTCAGCTCTACCTTTTTGTCAAGCCTAAGTTAACTCGCTCAGGAGTTGTTCCCCACTCAAAGGTCATTCTCTTCGATTTATTCTTAACTTTGGTTGAGGTTATTGACATCATGAGAGCCGAGCTTCAAATTTCGTCAAGCCACATTCCAAGGCCTCGACAATCCCTTACTGTCAAGATCTTCTAATCTCGGGTAAGCTTTGTTTTATCTCAACTTTGTTCACCTCCGATAAGTTATGATCTTTTCAAAATTGTTCACCTAAGTCAAACTCCTTTCATATCAGATCTGCCAACCTAGGCTAAGGCCTTCTCCTCTTGAATCTGTATACTTAGGTTGAGCTTTTGCCTTCTCGGACCTACTTATCTAGGCTGAGATCTTGTCTTTTGGTATTTGAAAACTACTCACTTAGGTTAAGCTCCTCCATCTGGGATCTACTTCACCTAGGTCATGCTCTTCTATCTGGGATCTGCTCCATCTAGGTCATGCTCTTCCATCTTGGATCTACTTTACCTAGGCCATGCTCTTCCATCTGGGATTTGCTCCACCTAGGTCGATGTCTTTTCTTCTCTTTCTTTTAAGTGTTGGATGTTTGTCTTTCATAACTGCTTTGTGTATGCTTTGCTATCTTCTCTATCTTTTATGTTTCCATACTTAGACTTTTTCTTATCCTTCGAAGTCTGACAACCTAGTTGCTTACCTCGAATCAAAATACCTCGGGTATAGCACTTGTAATTTATCTTGGACTGATCATCTCAGATTTAGCTTAGTGATCAGCCATCTCAGGTAACATATCTCGAATAACTTGAACTTGTAAACTTTTTCTAAATTTTTTTTACAAGTGTTATACTTATTCATGTTTCCTGCCCTCTAATGTGAACCTAAGTATCACGTATGTTCACATTAAGGATGCATTGCCTGGTTCTTGCCTAAGTCTAACTTAGACGTCCATGATCGAGGTTATCGCATTTGGCTTGCCCAAACTAAACACTTGAGGCTTGACCTCAGTGTACCGTGAGTACTTTCTACCTCGGGTTTTCGCACAAACTAATGAAAACATTGCTAGTTTCACCTTGTTTCACATTGAAACATCACCTTGTACTTAGTTGAACTCTACCATCACAGCAAGTCTAAGTTAATCGCATTGTTTCACATTAAAATATCGTCTTGTACTTAGTTCAACTCTACCATCATGGCAAGTCTAAATTAATCGTATTGTTTCACATTAAAACATCGCCTTGTGCTTAATTCAACTCTACCATCACGGCAAGTCTAAGTTAATCGCTTTGTTTTACATTGAAACATCGCTTTGTACATAGTTCAACTCTACCATCACGGCAAGTCTAAGTTAATCGTCTTGTTCACCATGGGAACATCGCCTTAAGACTTTCTCAGTGCTGGCGTATTTTTCAATCCGCGCCATTAGTTCTTCCATATTCTTCGGAAGAGTCTTTGCAAGTGATTGCTGGAGTGGGCCATTATTATCCAAGCTGTTCTTAAAAGATACCACTGCAAGTTCCTGGTTACAAGCTGGAATCCGGTTGTAAATCTCATAGTACCTCTTGGTGTAGGCCCCAAAACCTTCGTTATCGCTGATCTTTAACACTAGTAGGGAGTCTACCCTCAGTGGTTACAATCTGTTTGTAACAAACCTAGCCACAAACATCTCGGCCAGGCCTTTCCAACTCCTCACACATACTTTCGCCAATTTGTGGAATCAATCTTATGTTATTTCCCCAAATGATGATGGGAACACCTTGCACAATAGCTGCTCATTCCCACTCCATAAAGCCATTGAATTTAAGTATAATCCGATATGAAATTCTAGGTCAGACTTACCATCATAGATCTGAAATCTCAGTATGCTAAACCTTTTCGGTGCTTTGAAC